GGGGGATGTGATGCCCTCTCGTCATCAGTCCCCATAGATAAGTCATCCCTGTCTTGTCTTAATGGCCCCCATGGGCCACATTTGGCCCAGGGGAATCTTTTGCAAGGCTGCCCACCCACATATATCCCATTCACGTTTTTGAGTGATTTGGGGCCCTGCTAGTTTCATATATTCTCTCTCTCCCCCTCTCCTCCTCTCCCTCTCCTCCCTCCCTCCCTCCTTCCTACCTTCTCAGCACCTAATCTGGGTGAAGATCCTGCCTGCTGCACCCGCTCCTCCCACCACTCTTCTCCCCGTAACCACGATACCATCCCCTCAGTCCCTCTCCGTTCCCCCAGAGGGCCGGGATTTTGGAGAACACAAGACTTGCAGGCTATTTCTGCTTTCAGTGTAGCTACAGAGCCCCCCTGACATGCACAAATGTAGACTCAGCTAAGTGTCAGCTGACGTGGGAGGGAGAAGGGAGAAAGGAGCCTCTCGGGCTGATAGCTACTATGTGAGGCTGGACGAGGCCGGAGTCTCCTGCTAAGACGTGTGGATTGTACCCACTTGCTCTCTCGGCAACTAGGAAGCCCATGCGCACAGGCACGCGTACATCCGTACACACGTGTACGTGCGCGCGCGTGCCCAGGTGCCTGTGTGCACACACACACACCCCCGTCTCCCACAGCCTTCCCAGGCAGGGTTCTGGCCTCTCTCATGGCTTCTCCCCTGCCGCCCTCACTCCTCTCCTGTCCCTCCTCCTAGAGGTCGGTACCTCCTATTATGCTGTCGCCGTGGTCAAGAGGGGCTCCCCCGTGACCATCAACTCCCTGAAAGGTGTGAAGTCCTGTCACACGGGCATCAACAGGACGGTGGGCTGGAACGTGCCGGTGGGCTACCTGGTGGAGAGCGGCCGTCTGTCCGTGATGGGCTGCGACGTGCTCAAGGGTAAGGGCTTCGGGCCCGGCAGGGGCTTCTCTGGCAGGCGCGCTGGGTCTCCTTTCTCGCCACTGCCCTGACTTCCCCCGACGGGTAACCTCCCTCGGGCTCACCTTGAGCCTCCTATAATTAAGGAACAGCACCGTCGCGTCTCCTCCAGGGCCTCCCTGGCCCCTGGATGGTGGTATCACCCCTTCCTCGTTAGTGCTGGCCGGCCTGGTGCTGCTACCATTTAAGTTCTGGTGGAGTGGCCCCTCCGGGGCACTTGACACATGACCCTTGCTCGTTCCTGCCGGTCCCCCAGGACACAGCCAAGCACAAGGCCCACCCACGGTTGGGAGGCAGTGATGCCCAGGGAGCAGCTCTCACCTGCTGTAGACCTGTGCAGGTCCCTATTTCCAGAAACGTGTCCTCAGCTGGACAGATGAGAAACTGTTTTTTCAGGACCCCGAACAAGCTGCCGGCTTGCACCCAGAAAGTTCACAAGTGGGTAGAGACCTACGGCTCCCAGGTTGATTGATTTATAGTGAAAAGAGGGCTGTGCTGCAAATAGAATGTTCTCCCGTGGAAGGGAGTTGAGAGTGATCCAAGAGGGGTTGTTGAGAATAAAACACGCCGGGAGAGTGAGGTGAAGCCCTGTGCACCTGGCTGGAGCCCCCAGCCCTCATTCTGGTGGCCAGGGCACAAGTCCTGCTTCTCATGCTTTGGGCTTCTCTTCCCTGGCCACCCCGCTCTGACAGTCTGTCCATAGTGGGCTCCGTACCGTGATGTGGCCCCTGACCTACGACAGCCACATTCGTAAACTGCCCTCTGGGGATCACACACACAGCCCCAACAGTTTGTCAGTGAGTGTGCCGCCTCCCGGGTTGTCCCCCAGGTGACCGGTACTTCTGGGGCTGGGGGCCGGTGGGAGAGCCCGCGGGAGAGCATAATGGTGGTCTTTGAAAGCCCGGTGTTCACTGTCAGAGGGCTGTACATTTCAGCCCCAGCTCAGCATGTCTGCGTTCAAGTACGCGGCTCTGCCTCGTTGAACTTCAGTTCCCCATCTGCAAAATAGGACAATGAAGAGTACACGGCTGTGGTGTTGGAAGGGCTGAGAGAGTTCACAGGACATCTCCACACGGTGCCTAGCACAGCGTGTATCCTCAGTGTGCAGGGCTGTCGTTATGAGCTCAACTTCCATACCTCTTGGGGGCACCTTGCTGTTGCGTATGGACACGTGCACGCACATACATACAAACCTCTATGTGCACACACAGGGTGCACGAGCCCATACAGCGCACACATGCACGCATACACACCCACACCCTGCCCCCTACAACCGCAGCTACCACGTAAACCAGCACGACCCACGGGAGCTTGGAAGCCAGGTCGTCTCCGATGGCCAGATACAAGTGGTCTAACCGTTAGTCGGCACATTTATTAAATTTCTACTCCCCTGGGAGGATGCAAAAAGAAGACCAGGAAAGGCAGCCCACTCTGGAAGAGCTTGGTCTAGCTGGCTGATGCGCCAGCATCCTGCTCACCCTACGTGGCACTAAGGTGACCTTAGCACAGGATAAATATTTGCCAACAGGGTGGACGCTGGGCCACGGTGCTCGCAGGGGCCCCAGAACCATGCAGATCCCGACCACTGTACCAATAAGGCCTTCCTCCCCGTTCCCCTGCCCTCCCTTTGCTTTGAAAAGTGTCGTCTATGAAATTATGGCATTACGTAATAATTTCTTTCCTTCCCCACTTTCATTGATTACATATAACTAATTCGAAGTGAAACCCACAATGAGAACAGAATGTATTTGATGGTTGTCCTATGTGGTTGTTTGGGGATAAATGTTTTCGTCCCTTGAGCCATTTTAAAATAACAACGTCACGGGCGCCTGGGTGGCTCAGTTGGTTAAGCGACTGCCTTCGGCTCAGGTCATGATCCTGGAGCCCCGGGATCGAGTCCCGCATCGGGCTCCCTGCTCGGCAGGGAGTCTGCTTCTCCCTCTGACCCTCCTCCCTCTCATGCTCTCTGTCTCTCATTCTCTCTCTCTCAAATAAATAAATAAATCTTTAAAAAAATAAAATACAATAACGTCACTCCCAACGCCCAAGGCTGCTTTTGTGGCCCCAGTTTGGGAATCACTGACCCGGGCCAGTGCCCCCGTTTTGCTCAGACTGGAGCTTGGAGGGTCCCGCGCGTCCATGGGGGGGCCCGGCCCCACTGCAGCCTGAGATGGGGGAGCCCTGCCTGGGGGGACTGGTGTGTGGCTGACTGACCGCCCTCTCCCTCCTCCTTCCTGCAGCTGTCAGCGACTATTTTGGGGGCAGCTGCGTCCCCGGGGCAGGAGAGACCGGCTACTCCGAGTCCCTCTGTCGCCTGTGCAGGGGCGATGCTGCTGGGGAGGGCGTGTGTGACAAGAGCCCCCTGGAGAGATACTACGACTACAGCGGGGCCTTCCGGTGAGGGGGGGGCGGGGGCGCGGGGAGCGGAGTCGGGGACCTTGAGGCCACAGCGCGGGTGGAGAACTGCAGGGCCCTGAGCGGGCCTAGGGGAGTGGCATGTTGGCTGCATCTCATCAAAGCGCCCTTTATATAGTTCAGGTACCAGGTTAGTTTAAAAACGTCCAACTGGAATATGCCAGACTTGGGTTTGCTCACAAAGTCAACATGTTTAGTGTATTTAGAGGGATGAGGGCTTAGAGAGGAGAAAATGGCAAAAACAGCCGGGTGGGACCCGGGTAAATACAGTTTGGCACAGAGAGGAAACAGTCCTCAGTCCTCCAAACCAGACACTTTGGCCCACCCCACTCTCATGGTGTTCCCCCAGTCCGGGCCTTGCTTCTCTGCTGCCTGTGGGGACCCAAGCAGCCTTTGCCCAGTAGGCCCTGGTCCGCCGCCCTCATGGGGCGGTGACCTATAAAGGATCCATGGAAGTCCTGGTCCCTTCCACTCAGGGGTGTTTGGTGTGGCATGAGCAAGTCTTGTCTGATCCCCTGCTTCGGGGCAGACGCATCTTCAAAACACCCCGAGCATTGCCCTGTGAGCACCTGCTCCCTTAGGCCCCCAGCTCGGCTGTAGAGGACCTGGACTGCCCATAATGGGTCTCTCGCCGTGAGAGCTTTCTCATCCCCACTGGACAGGTGAGAGAGAGGGCTGCACAGCTTGGCAAAGCCGCACAGGAAACAAACCAGGGAGCTGGACCCTGGGACGGCCCGACCGTGAAATCTGGGCCCACCAGGACGGAGCCCTACAACCCAGAACAGCCCTCCAGAGGGCAGAGGAGCTCGGCCCCGCCCAGGCTCACTGGTTTCTCCCCGCAGGTGCCTGGCAGAAGGGGCAGGGGCCGTAGCCTTTGTGAAGCACAGCACGGTGCTGGAGAACACGGACGGTGAGTGGGGGCGGCCGGCCCCAGGAGCAGGGCCGCGGGCCCTATAACTGTGCCTGAAAGGGTGGGTCTTCTGACAGGGGTTCAAACTGTTCCGTGGGGCGAGGGGGGCTGGGGGACACAGCTGCCCGACTCTGGTTTGTGTCTGGCATTGGCTTCCACTTCAAGATTGGGTTCTGATTGTGCAGAACATTTGCAAGTCTCTGCATGAACGCTCACCTACCCCTCCTTCTCCTGTTATCTGGAGAAGCCATTCCGGATCCCTGAAGGAGGTCTTAGGAAATTGGGTTAGTGTTGTGTGTAGATCCATTATATCATTGTCATTTAACTTTTTTTTTATTTTGCAACAACCGAGCTTCAGAAAAGTTGCAAGAATAATTCAAAGAACTCCCTTTTTTTTTTTTTCAAAGATTTATGTATTTATTTTGGAGAGAGAGTTGCGGGGAGAGGCAGAGAGAATCTCAAGCAGACTCCCTGCTGAGCCTGGAGCTCCACTCAAGGCTCCATCTCTCGACCCTGAGATCATGACCTGAACAGAAATCAAGAGTCAGATAGATGCTTGACCGACTGAGCCACCCAGGCGCCCCACCCCCATTTATTTTTTTAACCCAGATTCCAATTTTTAGCATTTGCCACATTGGATTTATTATTCTTTCTATACTTGTATGTATTCTTTCTTTGAGCGTACATTTGCCTGCATCACACCCTTTAATATTTTAGTGTGTATCTCCTAAAAATAAGGAAATGTGGACCTAGCCACAGTACAGTTATCAAATTCAGGAATTGTAACATTGACACAATACTATTATCTAATCTACAGCACATATTCCAGATTCACTAATTGTCCCAATTCTATCCTTTGTAGCAATTTTTTCCAGGCTCAGGACCTAATCTGTGATCATACTCGGTATTTAGTTGTTAGGTCTCTTTAGTTTCCTCTCACTTCTGAGCAGTTTCTCAATCTTTCCTTGTTTTTGTGGCATCAGGCCAGTTATTTCATAGAACATCCCCCAATTTGGACTTGCCTAAGGATCGTTTATTTCTTTAAACTGAGGTATAATTTACGTGCAGCAAATGCACTCTTTCTGAACTACAGTTCTGTGAGTTTTGCCAAAAACACGGTTGTATAACCACCACCATCACAATCAAGATAGTGATTGTGACTGACCTTTCACCCCCCAAGTTCCCTGATGCCCCCTTTGGGCATTCACCAATCACTTTCGTCTCTATAGTTTTGCCTGTTCAATAATGATCATTGTCTTTTTTTTATCATAATCTTTTTTTTATCATAAACTTTACCTTTAAAAGCAGAAGGTCCATCATGTGGTCTGACATTCGAGAAAGGCAAACAATATGAACCAGATTTGAAAAAGAGAAAAAAATGATTTGAAAAAGGAGGAAGCACATAGGGTTATCTCTGGAGCAAGATGATCTTACAAAAATGGGCAGCCAGGACTTGGGCCTCAAGATCAAGCAGAGGAAAATATTAAAGGTGGAGAAAGAATAGGGATGTATTGGGTTAAAATGGGCTGTTTTATTTATTTATTTTAAGAGAGGGAGAGGAGGGGGGTAGGCAGAGGGAGAGGGAGAGAAAGAATCTCAAGCAGAC